TTAAGTTCTGGTATTCCATCCTCTTACCTCCTTTCCATCATTCTGATATTTTTTCCTGGGCAGATTTGCCTACCCCAACACTGTCACTACTACTGAACAAATCTAATGTACACTAAAGTAGCATCAGGATCTTGTCTTCCTGGTCCAGCCCCTACCGTCAGGTCCAGCTCCAGCCCCAATATCCCTCTGTGTACCTAAACCCCGAAGGCTCTTCTCTGCTTGCATTCCACTTCTTTCTGCTTAAATGCTAACTCCACATGAAGAATTAACTTCTTTTTCCTCTGCCTTCCCCATATTGGATGTGTATCAGTTAACATCTTTTGGTTGCAGGCTCCGAGTCCAAGATGGTGGCATGGGAAGACCCTGAACTAACCTTCTCCCAGATACATATTGAATTTGTACTTATAGGCAGAGCAGTTACCCCTAAAGTAGAACTGAGGCCTGACTTAACAGCTTCTGCACAACAAACAAGAGAGGGAGACAATACAGGAATAGGTCTCCCTAAAGCGTGCTCCAGCTCTAGCTTCCAGGACTTGCCCCCAGGACTTCCCTCAGCTTGCACCACCCCTAGCTACAGCTCCTGCCCAGCTGTGGCTTCTCCCCTAGACTTCCTACAGACCAAACCCACTTTAGCTATAGCCCCAGCTTAGCTGGGGATGCCTACAGCTCGCTCCAGCTTTAGTTCCTGGTCCCATTGTGGCTTGCCCCTGGGACTACCCAAGGCCTGACCCTAATCCAGCTACAGTTCTGTGCTCTCCTCTCCCCCCGCCTCTGCCCCAGGACTCCTCGTGGCCCATGCACATTCCGGCTGGCCTGCCAAAGACACCTGGCACAAACAGTGGACAAATGGGCAGCTCCTACACAAGGTCACTCCTTCAAGACTGGGAGAGGTTGCTCTTTCACCTAATTTATAGCAACAGACACAGAGAGACAGCCAAAATGACCAGACAGAAAAAATATATTCTAAACAGAAGACCAGAACAAAAACCCAGAAAAAGAACAAAATGAAAGACAAACAATCTTATCAGATACAGAGTTCAAAACACTGGTTATAAGTATGCTCAATGATCTCAGTGAGAACTTCAACAAAGAGGAAGCATAAAAAAAGAACCAATCATAGACGAAGGATGTAGTGACTGAAATGAAGATATTAGATGGAATCAACAGCAGACTAGATGAAGCAGAGGATCCAATCAGCAATTTGGAAAACAAGGTAGCAGAAAACACCCGATTGGAACAGCAAAAAGAAAAAAGCAATTAAAAAAATGAGGATAGTTTAAGGGACTGCTGAACAACAACAGAGTAGCAACATTGAAATCATAGGGGGACCAGAAGAAGAAGAGAGAAAGATAGAAAACCTATTTAGAGACATGATAGCAGAAAACTTCCCCAACCTGGTGAAGGAAACAGACACGCAGGTCCAGGAAGCCCAGAGGGGCCCACACAAGGGGAGCCCACAGAGCCTGCGCCAAGGCACAGTCGGAGTAAAAATGCCAAAGGTTAAGTCAACAGGGTTTTTCTTTACCTTCACCGTTGGAAACAGAAAGAAATAAACATATCAAATGGGTAACAACCATATTAAAAGTGGAAAAAAAAGAATCCAAGTAGCTTTTAGCTCCTCTTAGTCTGAAGATAAAAGGACCAAAAGAACTGCAAAGAAACCTTAAATTTGTCTTATTAAAAGGTTTATTAATAGCAGTGCAGGTGTAGTAATTCTGAAACAAGTTGGTGTGTATTGTAGAACTGAGCAAAGGAGTAAATATACTGATTTTGTTGGGAGCCAGGCTTCCTGGGTGAGAGAAAGGAACTACAAATATAGAACGGCGAGAGGAAAGAATGATATGAAGTGGCAATTTTCCCCAGTCTCAGTGGCAATGAGCACTCCTAGCTCCCAGATTGGGGTTCTACTATCACTCCCCACTAAAAAGGATCAGGAGTCCTTAGCCAAACAGCTAAGTCCAGGGCTGGGGCTGGAGGCTAAGCCCGGACCATCTTGTGCCAGATGTAAGAATGTGCTCAAAGAATGGCAGGCACAGAAGCCAGCTTGAAGAAGCTCCCACTGGCCAAGTCTGAGAGTGACCTGAGCATCAAAACAACTCATGGTAGTAAAGGATTATAACTCATTGAATAAAGTCAGAACCCATGGGTCCATATTGACAAAAGTAAATAAGGGAGAAGGAAAGACCCTGCAGTAAAATGTTAAGTACTAAATGCAGAAGGAATGTTAGAGTTTAAAAATCACTATCTCAGCCCTGCTGGTGTGGTTCAGTGGATTGAGCACCAGCCTGTGAACCAAAGGGTTGCCAGTTTGACTCCCAGTCAGGGCATTATACAGGGTGCAGCCAAGAGGGCCCCCCCCCTCAGAAAAGGGATTTGGAATGGGGTCCAGAACTCAAGGTGTCCAGGAAATATTAGGATGTCCTTACCCCTTCCCCCCTCCCACAGGTGTGAGTTGGGAGAAGGGATAAATGGAGCAGGACCATTGAGAGCTGTTTTGTACATCAACAGCTTTGCAGCTAACCTCTGGCATGGTCATTTAACATATCTATAACCTTTAACTGGTTTCATAGATATGTTAAATAGCTGTGGCCATGCTCTGAGCCAGGGGGATGGAAAGGGACTTCACCCAAAATGTAACTGGGGGCAGGTCCCCTAGGTTAGAGTGCCTGTGTGAGAGCTTGGACAGGATTGGCTCCACACCATGAGGCCACACCTGCCCAGACCCACAATGGCAGCCCAGTATACTTGGAAGGATACGGGAGTCCTGGCAAGTGTAGCCCATTGTAGGAGGAGTCAAAAATGGGGCTACAGAGGAGGACTGGCGTGGGGATTTAAACCCAGATTTGGCAGCCATTAAAAAGACAATCGTGCAGCTGTGATGGTACAGAGAGAGAGCCACACACAGCTTTGGTAGGGGAAGGAACCATGAGACTTTGTCAGAGTGGGACCCCTGTAGCTTTACTAGAGAGAATTACCATGCAGCTTTAGCAGAGAACCACCACTCAGCTTTGCCAGAGTGGTGACCCTACCCTCTCCGCAGCTCTGGTGGAGAGAAGATCCATGTGGTTTTGGCCAGAGTGCAGACCCCTGCAGCTTTGGTAGAAGAGGACCACACAACTTTGGGGTGCCATGTGTCCCTTTGGACACGTGGCCTGAGGAGCAGGAGAGACTTTACCTGGAAAAAGAGTGAAAGAACTCTTGCCAGTAGGCCGTAAGAAGGTGCCACATGGGTTTGGATTAATTAGGGATCCTGCCTGGACAGTGATGCAGCTGGCAGTGCCAGCGGCCTGTAACACGGACACCTGCTTCTTTTCCTGAGATACAGTACCCCAAATTAGGGCAGGGGGAGAAGGAAGCACTGTGGGTGTCTGTGGGTATCCAAAAGGACTTTGATATTTAAATGGGGCTATTGGGTCACTACTTTAAGTCTGTATAGCATTAAACAAACATTTCCTTTCCTTTTTACAAATCTCTGACATTGAGAGACATCTTTCCTCTGGCAGCAGACATAACAAACCTGTGTGTGTATGTTCAGTAACAGTTTTTGGCATCCCTGGGTGGGCCAATTATTGCCTCCCCCCTTGGACCTCTGTTATGTAACGGGCACATGCCTGGGTTACAGGCCAGGTCCCCAGTGGGGGGCATGCAAGAGGCAATCACACATTGATACTTCTCTCCCTATAACTCCCTTCCCCTCTGTCTAAAAATGAAAATAATAAATAAATCTTTTAAAAATTACTGACAATCATTATAATAATTTGATTCAGTCAAGAGCTATCAATTACTGTAAGGAACAGGATATTCACATAACTTCAAATAATCTCCCCACAGATTAGTTACTTAAAATAAAGGGGAAAATAGCACCTTTACAGAAGAGAAACTTGGAGGGCACGTCGGAACCTGCTGACTGAAGTTAGCATCACCAGTGTGGGAAAGTCAGCCTCCTGCTGCCTGACTGGGTCAATGAGGACCCGGCCCTCGGGCACTCCTGCCCTCTGTGCGCAGCCTGAAGCTAATGAAGCATCAACGAGCCCAAATGGAGGGACGGTCTACGAAATAACTGGTCCTGTCTCTTCCAAACATCCCACTCGAGAGGACGAGGAGAGATGGGACTGACCGGGATGAAGGAAGGCTGGAGAGACGCGACGACTGAAATGCAGCAGGTGGTTCCAGGTTGGACCCTGGACCTGAAATACTCTCACCATGGAGGACGAGTGGGACGGAGGGCGACATCTGAGTGATGTGTGCGGGTGGACAGCAGCGTGTTCTCAGTGCGAGTTTCCGCGTTTTGACACATCTGTGTTGTGGTTATGAAAGAGAATATTCTTGATTTAATTTTTTTATTTTCAAAAAAAAATCTTTTGATTGCAAACACTAACTCTGGCTAGCCAAACAGTTTATTGGATGTGTCTGTCAGGATCTGGTGGGAGGCAGAAAGGTGCACACACAGAGTAGTTCAGGACATTTTAAAGAAGGGACTGCTCAGAGTGAAGGGAATGGGGATGGTGCAGTCAGTACTCAGGGCTCACAGCAGCACTGCTCATGGCTGGGCCTGAGGAACAAGGGGAAAATAACAGAAGGCGAGGATCACCTGCCAGGAGTCTTAACTAGAGCTGCCAACCCATAGTCCCTGCAGGCAGGAAACCAGGAAAATAAATACCTCAAACTGCCTCTCCTGCCCTTGGATCTCCTGCCAGCCCCTCCCATCAGCTGAGCCCCACAGGAGGCCAGTTCTGCCTTCCACAGGGGCCAGCCTCCCGGGACACAGAGCAGGACGAAGGGTGGAGCGTGGAGATAGAGGAGCAACACTCTTCAGCCTAGTCCTAGGATGGAACGAATTGTTGCGTAACCAAAAATCAGGTCTGAGAGGTGTCAAGCACCTAGGAACCAAGGCCCAGGCCTAGCAGATTCAGCCAGTAAAAACACTACGAGTACCATTTATTCAGTTTATTAGTTACATAGAAGAAGGAAGATTAGCCAGAGGTGGTCTTTGTCGCACACACCGAAGGGTGATACAGAATTCAAGGGGCTCATGACTGCAATGTGAGTTGTGGGATATCCTGTTGTGGGGACCCAACTGGAGACTCAACTAAGCTGTTTTATAGTCTGCAACTCTGCTTGGAGGGAGGTGGAACAGAAAGACTCATTCTTCATCAGAGCCTAGGAGGTGATGTCTCCTGAGTTTCCCATGGACATGGCCTTGAGGTAGCACCTCACAAGCCTCCCGTCTTCTCCTGTTCCCGGAGGATCCCTCAGGCTGTCAGTCCAGCCATGGCCCATGCGGCCCACACGGACACGTGCCAGGGCACTGAAATGGAGCTCTTCCCCGTGGAAGGCTCTCAGGTGGCTTCATGACCACAGTTGCACAAGGCTGGGAAGCTCTCTAAAGCTCCAAGTCTCAGGTAACTGAGCCCCTACCATCCTCTCTCTCTCCCAATTTTCAGATTCTTGGGAGAGAATGCAGCTGTCCCAGCCTTAGTCTGGATGGACACCATAATCTGTGGCTGGGGGCAGGCTCACCTGAACAGAGATGGGTTCTGTGCATGGCAGCTTCCAGGGATGGGCTGCTCCCCTTTCTGGCCCCCTTATTTGCTTCTGCTTTGAAGTAGCATTGGTTCCATCTCATCTAACAGCGGGAAGCCGGGAGAGGTCCATGAGGATGGAGCAGTGATGGAGTGGTCTACGTGGCTCTGACCACAGACCAACAGGCCATGGGTGGAAGCAAGATCAAGCCCCACCAGAGGCTGGAGACCAGAGCATAAAGTGGTTCTGTACAGCAATTAATATTTGCAACTCATTTAAAGAGGAAGAAAGTAGTAAATTTATTGTCTTCAAGTTATTTTAAGTTCAAAATGAAAATGAAAAATTATGTAGGAGAATGTTTCCACCCCCAGTTGGAAGGGTAAGCAATAAGCATGATTAGGAGGGACCAAGGGAAGCCCACGGACACCAAGGCCTACTTCTGCTGGCTAAGAAACAGGTTGATAACCTGACAATAGATTAATAAACACGCCGTTGGCCAATGGTGTGGCCAATGGTGTGGCCAATGGTGGCTGTGGTCCTTTTTTCCTTATCACTAAATGTTTCCAGGGAAACGCAGGCATGAAGACCTTCTCAAACAGTAAAAATGTACCCTCTGCTTGCTGGACCCAGCAGAAGCCCTCAAGTCCCCACGCCCAGGTGGGAAGGGCCTGAGAACGGGCAGCCCTGTGAGCACTGCCTACAGCTTGATGGGCTGTGGCGGGGTGAGGTGGCTGGGCCCACTGGGTGGGGGCAGCACCATGGGCAGTGAGTTGCTGCCCCTCTCATGCCAGCATGTGTCCAGCATGGGGTAGAGCTTGCCCTGGAAGTCAGCCTGGAACGTGTAGAGTGGCCGCAGGTCATCTGGGCGGTCAGCATCGAAGAAGGTGAGCTCTCCCTGCTCATAATGCAAATAGATGCCGATGCGGTGCGGGTGTCCGGCCACAGGCAGGGTCACCCTTGGACAGCCAAAGGCCTCATATACCCGGCCCTCCTTCAAGCCAATGAGCCACATGCCATGCTCTGGGGACTTGGTCAGCTTGCCTTTCCGACTGGCTGTGCCTTTGATGACCCCCAGGCGCCAGTCGCTCTTGCTGCCCACCACCACCTCCCAGTAGTGGCGGCCACAGGAGAAGCCCCGGCTGGCCAGGACGCAAGTATTATAGTCAAAGCGCTCGGGCTGGCTGGCACGTCGCTGGGGCAGGAGCCCACACTGCACCACTGTGTTGCCCTTGGAGAGCTCCAGGAGAGGGTGGGCTGTGGCAGGGTCCAGCCTGAGAGGCTCCGGGGCTAGGGAAGATAGGGAAGGGCATGTTTGCAAGCCACACAGAGGGCAGCAGACCCTGCCCCAAGGGAGGCTGATTGGAGGCCCCGAGCTCCTCAGAAGAGGAACTGCACGGGCTCATCTCTCTATCCTCGAGGCCTGGAAGGGGCCAGGCACAGAGTGGGCACCTTAAGGATGTTTGCTGGATAAAGGAATGATGCCTGAAGAGTGGCAGAGATGAGCAGCTGTGAGCTGAGGCCTCCTGGTAAGGGACGCAGTGCAGGCCTGCCTAAGGCAGAGGTGCTGACAAGAGGACCTGGCCGACTGCCTGCCACGTGTTCTCCACAGCCAAACTCCGCGGGTTTTCTGGAGAATCCACAACTGTGGCTGTTTTCTTTGCTACCCCAGCAGCCTATTCAAGGACAAACTCCCAACTGACCTGCTAGCCGCCAGCTAATCAGTTTACACCAAAAATGTGCAAACAACATTCACCGTGCAGGGAATATAGTTTTTTTTTTTCTCTGCCTCTTTTTCTATTATATAAATCCTGTTTTTGTCTTTGTTGGATGAAATCAACCTATTGATTGATCTCCCTTATGTGCCAATAACGGAATTAATTTAGAAGCCTTTGAGTGTTTCTCAACAGAGTAACAGCTACATTTATTAATCACTAAACTATATGCACATATATATTTGTAAATATGCAGCCTAGCAAGGTGGGCATTAATAGCCCATCTGCAGATGAGGAAACAGAGGCTCAAAATGATGAAATTTGCCCTAGTTAGTATGACATGGAGCTGACCTTGACTCAAGCCTTTTGGTGGAACCCAGTTCCTGTGCTCCCACCACAAGCCTCTGCAAGCCTCCCTCCCAGCTCTCTGTGCTGTATACCGGCAGCCCTCAGGAACTTGGACGGGTTGGGGCCTCACCTGGCAGAACCTTTCGGAAGAGCCTTTTCCACACGGTCAGCTTGATGTCGGCCTGGTGGAGACCTGGCTTGAAGGAGATGGGGCTGAACGTGCTCTCCAAAGGTCGGGCCTGCTGGAGCTCTGCTCTGGAGGCAACAGTTCACATTGACGGCGGAGCTGCCTCGCCCATGTGCAAGTCCATGTACAATCACAGTGCAGGAGACTACACTCAAGATGGCTGTTGTCTCGTCCCCTCCACCCCCCTCTCAGAGGACCTGCCTCCTTCCTGGGAGGGGTAAATAGTCTCTATTAGTGGTCCTCAAAGTGCAGGTCCTAGACCAGTAGCATCACCTGGAAGCTTGTAAGATATGCAGATTTCCTTGGGTCCCACTCCAGACCTGCTGAATCAGAAACTGACCACTGGGGCCCAGGGCTGTGTTTGAATGAGCCTCCCAGGCGACTGTGATGCACGCTAACATTTCAGGACCCTGGTGCTGGGGCAATCGGATTCCGTGTCCATGTATTTAAACCAACGCTCCTAATCAAATTGTCCCTGAGACTAAAGAAAATTTGAGGCCCTGGTCAGGTAGCTCAGTTGGTTAGAGCATCGTCCTGATAAGCCAAGGCCGTAGGTTGGATCCCCAGTCAGGGCAATTATAAGAATCAACCAATGAGTGCATAAATAGTGAAACAACAGGTGTTTCCCTCTCGCCCTTCTAAAAATCAGTAAATTTTTTTAAAAGGTGAAAAGAAAATTTGAGAAAAAAAGGAGACTTGTAAACAGGGTCTGAGGAAGGCTCGGGAATTGCATGGATGGTTCACTTCTTGGGACTAGAACGTGGGTCCAGTCCCTTTCCACACCAGCCAAAGTGCAGGGGCCAAGGCCTCTCACTCCAGCCCTTACCCACCTCGTCCACTTATTTCCTATTTTACTGCCGGCCATACTGAACTTACAGTACTCCCAAGCCCACACACTACTTTGCCCTTCCCCCTCACTCTGCTTGCCTGGCAAACGCCCGTCCTCTCCTTTCTCAGGTATCCTGTCCATCCACTGTCTGCTAATCCCCCTCACCCCAACAGTCACCTCCTCCTCTGTGTTACTTCTGTAGCTTCTACTGTTCCAGGGACCCACAGTGAGGTAGCCATAGTTCCCTGCACTCCTCCCACCTATCTGTGAGACCCCGAAGGGAGGTACGTGAATTCTCTCTGTTTCTCCTGGCCCCAGTACAGAGCCAGATATGGGCAGCTGCTCCTGAGGCACTGGTGAAGCTGAAGGGACGAACTAGGAGAGAAGAGATGCTGTGCCCACAGCCACCAGACCCATACTGAGAGCTTCCCCCAAGGTATTACCTGGAGGCCATGGAGTGGTACTTCTGGAAGACAAAAGAGAGGTAGGTTGGGGCACAGCAGAGGCTATGCAAAAGAGGCTCTCAGGGCCCTAGGGGCCTCAGCATAGAGGACACTCCCTTGTCCACTCACCCGGATGAACTCGTGGTGATTCTCATTTCCAAACTGTTCCAGCACACACTTGGCTTGCACCAGCCGCTCCCGTGTGCCCTGGGCCTGCTCCAGCTGCATGTCCAGGGAAGCCACGAGGCCGCGGGTGTGACCTTCCACCCCTTTCAGGCAGCGGGCCTTCTCCTCCTCCACCAGGTGGTGCAGCTCCTGGAACTCACGGCGGATCACCCAGCTGAAGACATCGGACTCGTTCTAGGACAGAGCCAGCCTGTCAAGGCCAGAGCCACACTGGAGTGGCGATGACTGACCTCCATGTCTCCAGGGCCTGGCAGCAGACAGGCTGGTCCTGGTGCCTGAGTCCCAGGGCTGAGGCCTATCCAGGCATTCTCACTGTGCCTAGAGGTCCCAGAGGGCACCATGGGAGTGAGCAACAGTGACAGGGCAGAGGCCGGGCCCCTGGTTCCCATTTTAAAGCATTGGCTCTGCTTTCACTTGTCTTTACTATTAAGTGTGCAAGGAAGACTTCGCCTATCACAGGGTTCTACAACTGAAAAGAGTCTGAATGACCCCAGGAGAGCAGACTTGAATTGACACAGCCAGGATTCCCCTGTGACCCCAAGTTCTGTCTCCACAGAGCAGGGTAATGCTACCTCCCTCTCAGGGGGAGGGGTACTCAGGGAATACTGCTGCCATTTCCCCCACAGGGCCTCAGCTCACACCCACCCACGCCCCCCTCACTGAGGAAAAGCAGAGCACGGAGGGGAGCTTCAGGCTTTCCCATGCCTGTGCTGCAAGGCACTGAGCGGGCACCACACAGACTGTCAAGGTCAAGCAGACACATGAGACGAGGGCTGGCGAGTCATGCCCACACTTTGGGCTGTTTACTTCTGGGACTTAGGTTCTGGGTTATCTCAGTCCCAAGGACAAGGGAACATAAGCCAACTTAGAGACAGTCCTGACAACTGGGTTGAATTCCCCTGAGGAGATTTGCACCTTCCCCACCCTGCCCTGGAATGCTTTGAATGCTGGCTTTATATGGAAGGCAGGGATTCCCGTGCAGGACACATTAGCCCTGGACTCTGTAGGAAAGGGAAGGTGGCTGGTCCCAGCACAGGGGCAGAGGGAAAGGCACTCACGACAATCCGGGTCCTGTTGTTCACCAGCTTGGCGATATGCTCATCCACCTTCTTCTGTTCCTGCTTCAGGTCAGAGATGAGGGCTGCAAGCTCCTCCTGGAGGCAATGTGCGTGGCCTCGTGAGTGGCTGCCCACATAGCATCTTAGCTCCTAGGGCCTCGCCCTTCTAGGGAGCCTCCCAATGGCTACTAGCACACCCAGTGACCCCAGGATAGGCACCAGAGCTACCCAGGTGCCCTTGACCTCAAATTAGCTAAGACTACTCAAGTATACTCCATGTTGATTGTAGGATCTGCCCAGGCAGAAGAGGACTCCAACTCATCCCTCCCCAAGATGTGTAGAAAGGCACTAAACGTTGTTTCACCCTATAACACCCAAGACAGGTGATTGCCAGTCTGAAGCCAAAACTCCCGCAAAACCCACCAGGTAAACTCCAGGCACCAGGAGGTCCAGAATTAGTGGGCATTTTGATTATTACAAAAGGGCTGTCCCCAAGAGAGGCCAGTGGTGCAAGTGGTGGCCCAGGTTATACCTGCTGGGTCCCCACACCCTAGAAAGACCTGAATTCACCCCCCAGCAGGCTTGAGCCCAGCCTAGATTTCAGGGTTCCCATGGATGAAGTAAACTCACTTCTGGGCTCCCCTGGCCCCCCATCTGACCTGTTCTTAGGGATCCAAGCAGGACCTCCTAGACCACCATCTGGCTGCACCGCTTGACTGGGGCCCTGCGGGTTTATGCTCATGAAGCATACAGACTCCGGCTTAGAAAGTTCCTAAGGAGAAGTCAGCTGCAAGAGCCTTTCAGAAAGGGAGCTGGGCAAGGAATGAATGGACACAGAGTGCTTGCTCCGGATAAGGAGGAGCCTTCAGATCACACAACAGCCGAGGAGAAGGCATTCCAATGGTAGTCCTCTTGAGGCAGAGAGAATTGGGACTAGTTCTTTCTCGGCAACTGGGCCACAGTGAGAGCAAATACAGTATGAAAATAAAGGGTCTCAAGAGCTCAATCAATAGGAGAAAACAGCAATGCACGACAGGGATCTGGTCAAGAAACCTAAATTGGTCACGTCACATGGACGAGTCTTGGGATCAAAAAAAAAAAAATGTCCAAACCAGGGCTCAAGCTAGGCCCTGGCTCCTTGCCAGAAATGATGAGCAAGCTCCCGCGTGTTTCCTTCTCCCTGGGGCGGCCGTCTGCTAATAAAACACGGACTCGATTTTATTGCACTGCAGTTGGGCTTCCTCCTTCCACGCTCCACTAAAACTACTCTTGCCAAGGGGACCAATTCTTACCGCTAAAGCTAACAGACACTCTTCAATCCTCAGCAGACATTTACGCACAAGTGATATTCTCGTTAACAGGCTCTGTTCCTCTGATTTCTGGGAGGCCATATTCGGCCAGTGTTCTGCTCCCTCTGTCGATTCTTTCCGTCCCCTTCTTGGGATTCTCTCTCTACCCCAACCTCAAACCCTGGTGCTCCTTGGGCATCATTGGGGTCTTCTCTTACCACTTTGCAGACTCTTACTCCCAGTCTGTTATCCCCAGACTGTTATCACCCTCCAATTTACCCCTTCGACAGTGGGATAGGGCTACATCACGACTCTGCTTAACCTCCAGCACCCACCACTGCACTGTCACTTGAATAAACTACAAATCCCACCCCAAGATACAGAGGTCTTTCCATGACCCGGCCTGCTTGCCTCACCTGTCCTATCTGGCTCACACCTCACTCTCCCTTGAGCTTAATGGAATGACTTATAGATTCTCAAATGTGCCATGCTGTTCACCTCCTGGTCTTTTGCACGGGTTCTTTATACTTGGAATGCCTTCCCTCCCCTTCTTTTCCCACCAAGTCCTCCTTGTGGTTCAGTTCTTAGCTTAGCAGTCCACTTCCTCCAGGAAGCCTTCTCTGACCACCTGAGACCAGGCAGGAGCCATGCTCCAGGCAGTCTCACCTGGAGACTATTTGACCTTGACAGCAGCACCCAACACATGGGACTCTGTCAGACCACCAGATGGTAAGCTCCACCGTGGCAGGGCGAACCTCTTGCCCACTACTGCACCGCGGCACTAGCACAGCGGCCAGTACAGGTCAGTGTACCAGCCGGTAAATGTCTGTGGGGAGGAGGGGCTGGCCCCATACGTGTTTCCTACTTGTCTCCCAGGGCCGAAGGAGCACAAAAATGGTGCCCACAGCACTCAGCCAGGAAGCTTCCGGAACAGCTTACAGGGGGCCCCTTTGCCTGCAGATCACCATGTTCTTTCTTTTCTATGGCTGCCTCACTTGTATTTTGTCATTCCTCGCTTTTATGTCCCTTTCCCACAAATACCACACCACATACCCTACAAGAATTCACTTCCAAGAGCCCTTCCTGCCCTTCCCTGCTCTGTTGGCAGTGGAGAGAAAACCCGCCTTCTTTGGAGTCCCAGCTCTGCCACCGACAAGCTGCGTGGCCTTGGGTAAGACACTTGCCTTATCCAAGCCTCAGTTTCCTCACGTGTAAAATACAATAAAAACCCCACCCTTCTTAAACCTTAGATCAGATCAGCATTAACCAAAGATGGTATCATTGTTATGATTAGTTATCTTAAATGATGACCCACTAGACCCGATGCAAAGTTCCCGGGGCGCAGGAACCCACTGATTCCACAAATACACTGTGAACATTTAGTACGCCAGGCACAGCTCCAGACACAGAAACACTCCTGGGAACAAAACGAAGTCCCTGCCCTCCTGGGTCTGAGAGTGCAGTCCAAGGAGCGTTCAAAGAGAACTACGGCGTGGGACGGACTAGCACGTGACGCAGCACGCTCTCCACCTTGCCTACCCTCAGCACCTGCTCAGAACTTCAGGGATGAATGAATGCTCAGGCGTTCTGCTCCAGGATAAGGCTGGAGAGAACTCCAGTCAACCCGTATTGGCCGAGTGATGGCGCCAGAGAGCGCAGGAGCTGGGCTCCGTGGGCTCCTGGCCCGCCCCCGCCCCTCGGTGGAGGTCTGGGTCCCCGCCCCCAGCAGTCTCGTGGCCCACCTTCATGCGGCTGTAAACGGTGGAGATGGGCGTGATCCGGTGGTGCTGGTGGGAGCCCAGCAGGCCGCAGAGGCCGCAGATGAGCTCTTGGTCCTTTTCGCAGAAGAGGCTGAGCGGGTTCCGGTGGTGCGCACAAATATTAGGCTCCAGGTCCCGGGGAAGCCTCAGGGCTTCTATCACCCTTGCTAGGGCGAAGTTGGGCGAGGAGCTGCTGCCATCCACCTCCTGCCGGCACACTGGGCAACGCAGCTCAGAGTCCAGGTGGCAGGACAGGGACACCAGACAATCTTTGCAGTAGGAGTGGCCGCACTGCAGCATTAGGGGCTCCTCGAAGACCTCAAGGCAGATGGGGCACTTAAGGCGGTCCTCCAGCTCGGCCATGCTCACCCGCCACGCCGCCATCCACATCCACGGTGCAAGCTGTAACACAGGGCGCCTTCCTGAGCCTGCTTCCCCGACTCCCTCTGTCCACAACCCCCTAGAAAGGGCCTCAAAATTAGAGGGTCCTACAGACTCCAGCCCTGGATTCCAGTCTCGATCCCCTAAGATCTGAGGCCTGTTCCTCATCTTTAAGACAAAGTGCTTAAATGAGGGGTCAGAGGTGGGAGAAAGTCACTTTGAGATATATGATTCTACATGTTTTTTTTTTTTTTATTAAAACTCGGATTTGCAGGTAAATATGAAAGGGACCCTCTGCAGTGTCATTTGTTGTGACACAAATAATGCAAGCTCCAGCCTCAGCAGGTGTCCTGACCTAGGACTGGACAGCAAAAACAAGCAAAGGTCCTGCCCACCTTGTAGATAAGGTTCAAACTGGTGAGCAACTGTTGGAATCAGAGTTCCTGAGTCACCCCTTCACACATCTCCAGTGAGACCGGAAATCTCCATTTACAAGAGAGACTCCCAGATCATTCTAAAGCAGAGAGCTGTCTTAGAACAAAATTGTTCTGAAGAGTCTGGGACTTAGGAGAGCTGTATCTTCATCTCCCACCCATTCCCCTGAGAAAACTGACGGCCTCTGAGAGAGGAGCAGCACCAAGCTGGAAGCGCCGAGGTGGAAGTCGGCAACAGACCCCCCACAAGGAGCTACCTGGCTTCTCAGGAGCCACTGGCCTCCCACTGGGGCCTCAGAACAGCATCACTGACCTGACTGGCTTGGCCTCTTCTCCCCAGGATGGAACAGCAGGAGAGGAGACCTGGGGATTGCAGCTGGATGCCTGCTCCACCACCTGGTCTCTGCCCCTTTCCTCCTCCCATTTCCCAGCAACACCCCATATCCTCAAGGTCACCTAGATCAGGTGGAAACTGGGCCACGTCACGGGACTGGGGACGCAGCCTCTGCTGGGCCAGGTCTGATAACTGTAACATTCAGGTGCTTGCTTTGGCCCAGCAAGGGGAAGGGGTGGGGACAGAGAGGCTGGGTACCCGTTCACACCTTACAGATCCCAAACGGAATGGACTTGTGCTGCGACACCATCTTCCTGAATCTCTCTTTTTAAAAGATATTTGTAAGAACATGTATGAATGACCCATGGACATGGACAAGAGTGTGGGGATTGACTGTGGGAGTGGGGGATGGACTGGGTGGAGGAGGACAAAGGGGGAACAATTGGGACAACTGTAACAGAATAAACAGTAATAAAAAAGAGAAGGGCCTAAGAATAAAAAAAAACCCTGAAGATATTTTTATTTATTTATTTAGAATTTTTAATTGGGGTACATCTTCTAAAAAGCGCAGAAATCTTAACCACACACTTAATGTACACTTTCTATATACTCACTCTCCAGATCAAGACACAGAACATTCTAGTCCCTAGAAGCCCCCCCTCCTACTGTCCCCAGGCAGAACCTCTCACAAGAACAGCTGCTCTCATGGCCCGTGTCACTGCAGATTAACCGGGTCTGGCTTTGAATGTCAAATGAACAGAATCACTTAATATGTACCCTTTTTGTGTCTAATTTATTCAATATTATCGCATTAATAACTTTTTATATGAAGTCTTTCAAGGGGTTAGAAATTCAGTGACATTTTATTTACAGTTAATAATATGCATTCTGGATAATAATATACAGGTCATAAGGTACTATACATATCTCAAGGGTGTGGTGGGAAATTATTGATTGGAAAGGACAGAATGGATCTCTGGGGGTGTTAAGAAATAAGGAATGCTAGAGCTTCCGGCAGCAGATTGTGGAAAAGGGGCAGCAGGCGCCATGTCCCCGCTCAAAGGTGGCAAAGGCACAAGAAGCAGGCCAAGGAGATGTACAAGGAAGATAAGGCATTGAGCAGAAGGAACTCAAAGAACTAAAAATGAAGGCTGTGGGGAAGGACCACCTGCCCGCCCACAGGTGGAATTAACAAATCTGGCAAAAAGTGAGCTGTTCCTTGTGACAGGAAAAGTCAGCTGTTCCTGGGGCAGTGGTGAGCCTTAATGCCATTCCCGTTTTAAGATCTGGACTTCCTGTCATGCCATCTGTTGCCATTTATAAGTAGGATGAAGTGTCATCCTGGAGCCTGTTGGTACATTTAAGAATTAACTTTTGTAAATCATCATCATCATTTGGTGGCTCATCTCTTTAGTTCTTCTCACCCAGCCATTTCAGTCTTAGCTATGAGGTCGGAATAAACTGAGCCCAGAACCCTGCCAAACAACAGAATCACCTCAAGGTCTTTGTTGTATCCTCATCCTATACCCCCTGTAATGAAACAACTCATCTGAAAAGAAAGGAAGGAAGGGAGGTCAAGCTCTAGAACAGTAGGCCCAAGCACCTATGTCTGCCAGCAGGGGAGGTCTCCGCCCCAGTGATAAGCAAGACCAAGATCTCATATAGACAGATAGAAAGCTAATTTTATTTGTTAATTCAAGAAATATTCATTGAGAACCTGCTATGTGTCAAACATTGAGCTGGGCATTGTGAATATATCAAAGAACAAGACAGACAAGGTTTCTGTGCTTCTGGAGTATGGGAGCCAGAGGGGTGGGTGTAAGGTCATGAATAAACAAGCTGATGTAATGGTGTTAAATGGCACGCAGGAAGTACACAGTATGGAGAGAAAGGGGAGCAGAATGACAGGTCGTATGAGGTGCACTTCAGTAAGGAGCAGGTCAATGTCTCTGAGGAGGAATGGTTGAGCTGAGATGTGAAGGATACACAGGAACCAACCACCTGAAAGGATTCAGGGTAGTAGACTACATAATTCGTCAGCAAGTGCAAAGGTCCTGAGGGCTGGAAAGCACTAGAGAGGAGACCTGGGTAGTTGGAGTGTAGTAAAGGAGGGGAAACATCAGAAGATGAGGCCAGAGAGGTCGGCCAGGAGGGCCGTATAGACTAGGGCAAAGGTTTGGATTTCATTTCGAGGGCAGTGGGAGGGTTCCTTGCCTAAAACCCTCTTAGAGGGTTTTAAGGCAAGAAAATATCATCTCATTCATATTTTTAAAATATCAGTCTAGCTGCTGTGGAGATAATGGATCACAGTAGCATGAGCACTTGGGTGGATGGGTGGTGAAGCCAAATGGCTGATACAGAGATGTAAACAAAGTAAAAGGGGATCCAGAGTCAGAGGCCACAGGGCATCCAGGTGGAGGAACTGCGTAGCCCAACTGGTCTGCAGACTTCAGCAAACAGCAGAATCACCCAGAGGCCTCGTTACAACACACATCTCTAGGCCCCAGTCCCAGAGTTTCTGATTCAGGAGTGCCTGGATGGGCTCGAGAGTTTGCATTTGTAACAAGCACTGATGCTGCTGGTCTGGAGACTGAGTACTCTTTGAGACCCACTGAAAAAGGCTGTTGGACACAGTCCCCGGGGGGGTGGGGTGGGGTTCTGGCACCAGTTTATATCACACAGTTCAAATCTGTGGGAATGGTAGGGACCTCTCAGGGACTGAAAGTAGAGAAGGGCAGGGGTCCAAGGACAGCCCTAGGCTGCTAACGTTTTACAGGTCTGAAGATGGAGGACGACTGGGAAGGGATAGCCAGTGAGGCCAGAGGAACAGCAGGGAAGTGTGGCAGCTAGGAAGCTGCAGGGGGCAGCCCTAATTCCTGGGCTCTGTGAATATGTCACTTACATGGCAGAAGGGACTTTGAAGATGTAATCACAGTCACAGTCCTTAATTATCCAGGTGGGTCCAATTTAATCATATGACCCCTTAACAGCAGAGAACTTTCTCTGGCTGGAGTCAAAAGATTGACGCTACAGAAGAGGAAGCAGGAGGATTCCAAGCATGAAGAGGGTTCAGCACTATTGCTGCCTCTGAGATTCAGGGGCCCACATGCAAGGATGGGAGAGAAGCCTTTAAGAGCTAACTGTGGCTCCCCGCTGACAGCCAGGAAGGACATGGGGACCTCGGCATCAGAGCTTCAAGGATCTAGATTTGCCAAGAACTTGAATGAGCTTTGAAGCAGATTCTTCCCCCAACGCCGCCAGTCAGGCTAATGCCTTGATTTGAGCCCAGAGACAATGATGTCAGACTTCTACAGAACTGTGAGAGAATATATGCGTGTCACTTTAAACAGCTAGGTTTGTGGCAACCTGTTATGACACTGGAAGAAAACGCATAGAAGCCAAGAGAAAAGTGTTTAATGGTCAGAGAAGTCAGCTTCCCCAAATGCTGACAAGACTCCAGGAATCTGAGGACAAAAGGTGTCTGATGAACTTTGCAATAAGAGCAGTCTTCCTGGCACGGAGAAGAAGTTAGTGGCTACATTGAAGTGATTAAAAATGGTACAGAAGGAGGGTGGAAATAACCTACCGCTAGAGGTCTAACCCTTCCAGCTGGAGGCTGTTTCCGGGGCCTTGTTTCTGGAGCTCACCGGGACGCTCCAGCCACGTGGCTCGCTGAGCATCGCTCCTCCCCATCACGTGCCCCACGACACACACGTCCGCATCACGTGCTGCACAGTGTTCCGCACGCACCCCCTACCTGCCCCGCCTTGCTTCCCACCACCACCGCGTGCCCAGTCGTGCTCTGCGCACGCCTGTCACGTGCCCTGCCACGCCCTCCCTGGCCTGAGGACGGTTGGCTGCAGTTGGGGCGAAGCCATGAGCTACCTCTCGCGGCCTGTGAACGGAATGCCCGGCTCTGGGGCAGAAGGCCAGGTATAAAGGAGCGGCTGGGCTGCAGCCTTCGGGAAGTGCCTGCAGTCCCCAGCACGGGACGGGTGGCCAGGCTCATCCATGTGTCCACGGTGGGGAACGCCCCGACCCGGGGGGAGTCTGGCCAGGGGTCGGCGCCCCGGGCCTGTTGAGGGCCCCGGCCGATCAGGCACTGCCCTGGGGGTGCAGTTGGACGGCTTTGAAGCCCGTTTTGTTCCCCACTAGTCCCCTCACCAGAGGTTGAGCCGGTGGATGCTGGACATTTCCGGGGACCGGGGTGTGCTGAAGGACATCGTCCGAGAGGGTGCTGGCGAGCTGGTGACGCCGGACGCGTCCGTGCTAGGTATGGCCCGGGGTCCCGGCGCCATCTGGCCTCAAGGAGCTGGCAGTACGAGGGGAATGGCGGTTTCGTGGCACTTTATTTTGGGGGAGGGGAGGCTACGTTTTCAAAAAAAATAGCATTTTTGTGGCGTAGAACATACTTTGTTAGAACTTGAATTTTCACGGGACAGTGAGGGGCCCCCAGGTCCACCTTGACGTGGCGGGGCTCACCAGCCAGTTTTCCTGGCGCAGAGCCGAAGGGCAGGCGTCCAAACGTTAAGCAAAGATTTGCTCTTATCACTCAAGGTGTGAGGCAGTTGAAGGACATCTAATTCTGTTGTTTGTGTGTGATAGAGATGTGATGTTGTAGAGGTGAGGGTGTTGGTCCATTTTTCTGTGTGTTTCCTCTGTCCTAGTGAAATATTCTGGGTACCTGGAGCACATGGACAAGCCTTTTGATTCTAATTGCTTTAGGAAAACTCCTCGGCTCATGAAGCTTGGAGAAGGTAAGTTCACATTAGGAGCTGGAAAAGGCCGGGTCGGTCGGGGAAATTAATGAGGGGCTGAAAAGCTGTCCAGGACATAGATTCTTTGAGTCGGTTTTGCTAAACCAGCCGGTTCCCTCCTTGAGAACTAGGTATTTGGGAGATGTCCTGCTGGCAAGGCTATATCTTTGCATCCCAACTTAACCATTGGGCATTGTGTTTTGTTGGTTTATTGAGTGAACAGCTGTTGAATGTTAACTATGCACAATGCATGATGAAGAGAGAGGATGTGCCCAGACGATTAGAATGTCCCTGCCAGTGTGGCAGGGGAAATTGACTCCCATTCAGACAACTGTCCTGGTGGAATCTAACAAGTTCCTGGGAAGTATGAGCAGTGTTGAAGGAGTACTTAATGACAGCACCGTTCATTCCAGCTGGGCAGATCAGGGAAGGCTGCATGGAAGAGGGTGCATTTGAAATGAGCACTCAAACAAGTTTGAGTAAGATTGAATCAGGGCAGAAGCTTGGCATGGGGGGAGGAGGAGGATGCTGCAGGAAGAAAGAACTGTGCGAACAAAATGCAGAGGCTAGAGCGCTGCAGAACCTAGAGAAATTAGAGTTGGAATGGTGGCGGGAGACACGGCTGAAAAGTGAGTTGGGAACAAGATGCAGAAGGCTTGGAATATGACGCGGAGGTATTTGGATGTAAATAGAACTTGGTAGCATTGGAACAGGATATTGGGCAAGCTTCAGCCACATTTTTTTGCCCCTTCTTCCAGATATCACACTTTGGGGCATGGAGCTGGGCATTCTGAGTATGCGGAGGGGAGAGCTGGCCAGGTTTCTGTTCAAACCAACCTATGCCTATGGAACACTGGGCTGCCCGCCCTTGATCCCCCCGAATAGCACTGTCTTGTTTGAGATTGAGCTGCTTGACTTCCTGGATTCTGCTGAATCAGACAAATTTTGTGCCTTGTCAGCGGTAAGTTCTAGAGCACAAATGTCAACACTGCACAGAAAGAGCATTGGGTTTGTTTTGGGTAATTATCATCTCTGCTGGTGGTCCTCTGGCCCAAGTTCCACCCTGAGGCTCCTGTGTGGTGGTACTTCCCCTAGTACTTCCCCTCTTCATATTGGCCTTTCTCGCATGTGGGTAACTGCGCTAGGCCAAGGTCAGGCTGTGGATTTGTTATGGACACCAACAGTTTCAGCTGATCTTTTAGTCATCCTTTGCTTACTTTTCTCTGCAAAGCAGTGAACATTTGCTTCTCAACATTAAGTTTGATTTCCAGCAAGTCAAGCATTATGGTAGCTCATAACTCATTTGCTTGTATAATTTGTTGTCCAACCCAACACACTTCAAGTGAAAGGGACTATTAACTGGATAGGATACCAGGACATCAGGGGTAAACTGGGATAATCCCAGGCAAAGTGGGACGTGTAGTCCCTGTTCTCCTAATTCGAGTGTTGCCATTTCTTGGTTGCTTCTACTTCATCCTTCCCATAGAGACAGGGCTTCTGATCTCATTAGAATGCACTCTTTGTCATTCTTTCTCACACTGACTATATATGTGACTTTAGATGTCCACCTCAGGCTTATATCTGTATATGATGTTACCCAGCTAAATGATGTTACCAGCACCCCAAGTGAGGGACCTTATCTTTTTTCATCTTTGTGCAAAACAGGTTCTTGCAGATCCTGGGTCCCACCTCTGGCATACTGATTTAGAATCCCAGGGGTTGGGGTGGGGTCAGGGAGGACAGGATATGTATGTTTTAAAAGAGGCTCTATGGGTGATTTTTTTCTTTTTTAAAAAAATTGATGCTAGAGAGAAGGGAAGGGAGGAGGAGAGGGAGAGACACATCAGTTGGTTGCCTCTCATACATGCCCCAACTGGGGACCAAACCTGCAACCTAGGCATGTGCCCTGAGTGGGAATTGAACCTGCAACCTTTTGGTTCGCAGGATGATGCCCAACTAGCTGAGCCACACCATCCAGGTTCTGTGGGTGATTTTGAAATATTTACTCAAGGTAGCACGTGTGGCTATATAGATCGGTAGGGCCCTGGGCAGACCAAGACCTGTTAAATTCTGCTGAATAAATGGTCCTGATTTTTGTGCTTAACAAGTCCCATCAGTTTCTAATTCCATGGAATCTGCCGCTGTAGTGAACATCTCTAGGAGGACTGGGGCTCTCCCTTTGGTGCTTGGCTATAAAGTGGGCACAGTGATAACATCAAACTGCTGTGACTTCCATTGGGATTCACAGAGACAACCTCTGCAGAGGTGCATAGACCAGTGCTTGGCACACACACATCAGTAAACAGAAGTGCACACTCTGAAGCGGAAAGACAGAACCGGTGTAACTACACTTGCATTGTGGTATTGTGGCTTTCACTTTTCTCGCTGGGTGTTCTTGTCTTTGGTCCTCAGGAGCAACAAGATCAATTTCCACTTCAGAAGGTCCTAAAAGTGGCAGCTACTGAACGAGAGTTTGGCAACTACCTTTTCCGCCAAAATCGTTTCTACTATGCCAAAGTGAGATATAAACGGGTAAGAATGCTTAAGAAGTATGTTTAGACCCTGAAATATTCCATTTGAAAGAAACAGACCTGGTCTCTTTCCCTATTCTTTATATACAGTCATTAAGAAAAATGTCATTAAACCTCCCCATGCTAGATAGCTGGGAGAGGGGCCAAGACGTCTGCGGGGAGCCTGGTGTCCTGTGTCTGGCATTTCAGTTCTGGTACATGGGCGTGTTCGGTTGTGAAAATACGTTGAGCTATGCACTTTTGTACTTATGTGTGTGTATGTCAGTAAAAAGTTTTTTAAAATTCTCATCTTAGTGTTAACTTCTCTACTAACTGATTTTTCCACCCCTCTGTAAACTTCGCCATCTTCATTTCCTGTCTGACAGTGGAGATTCATCTGACTCTCTGAGGTGACTCCCTTCTCACCAAGCTTTGGACTGTGCTCTGGCTTCTCCTGTAGGTTATACGGGCAGGGATTTGCTGCGCTCTGCAACTCTGTGAATACTCTGAGCACCGTGTGCACCAGCCTCTGGGCCTTAAGTTCTAGACATAAACGAAACAGAGTTTAGAGTCTAGAGGTAGTCTGATTTTACATCTCATTTGCATACTGAGCCTAAATCATCCTGGATTTGCACTCTGCTGCAAGCAGCAGAATCTTGAAAAACTGGTCTTTAAGTAAACGAGATATTTAAATTGCCCACACATAAAAAGGGAGGCAGTCCAAGGCTGCGAAGCAGTTCTGTGAAGCCACCAGAGATCCAGGCTCCTTCTTTTTGCTCAGCTGCCATTAAATGTGTTCTTGTTTCTCCCCCTCTATGGTGGATGGTCGTTCATCTTGTAGCATCACATGATTATGTGGGCAGAAAGAAAAGAGGGGAGGAGAGTTTGGTGTGTTCATTACTTACCTTTATGTTTCATGGATCATGTTAAATGTACACCCTTAACTGTATAGGAAGCTGGGAAAGGTACTTTTTAAATTAGTACACTGCTGCTTTGAACGGAATGGAAGTAATTAGGTGACAAGGAGGGGCATAGACGCCAGCTAAGCTAACAGTATCTGCCACATTTGGGAAACATGAATATGCTGCAGAGAAAAGAGAGCATGCTCATAAAATCAGGTTCTTAAATGTGAATAGCATGGATTTGGCTCATGATTAGGTTGTGTTGTATCATGGATACTACTTGTAAAGATTCTTGAGAGCCTGCACACTTGAAAAACATTTTTTCTTATAAAAACAGATCGTTTCTTTCATCACTTATTTCCTAGGTCTGATTCCCTGAGCAGTCACTTTTTAATTATATCTGCTGTTTTTCTGGTACTCTGAATTTATAAATGACATGCTTTAATTGCCCTTTTTGACATTTTTGATTTCTCACCAAAATGAGAATTAAGCAGGTGAGGCTTTAGTTCTCACTTCTGGTTTCCCAGTATTGTCATAATTTTTTAAAAAATCAGTATTTGGTCTTATATAATTGAGGTTTTTTGATACTATACCTGCAGAGCCAAGGTCTCCACTATGCTTACTTGTTCAACAGCCCCCTTATGCCTCTTGAATCGCCTCTTTTTTGCCTAGTTTCCTCTGTACCTATCACTGTTTCTTCCTAAACATCCTCACAGCAATAGAAAGCCTCTTCCAACGCTACTTTCCATCTGATTGTGCCTCTCACGGCCTGGTAGTGCCTTCTTTTCTCAGGACTTCCCCACTAGAACTCCAAGTCAAACCGAAGCTCCCAGGGACCTGCACAGCTCCTGTCCCAGGGCTGCCTCGTGACTGGAAGATTTCCTGTTGTTTTTCTCAGTTTATTCCCTTGTTTTGATGGAGCACATACATCTTTGCATGTCTAAAAATATTCTTAGGTTTGTTCAGAAGGTATCCAGCCATGTAATATGAAAAATAGACACGTTTATTGAAGATACAAGATAGAAAACACATTGTACATAGGACAATGACACCCTAGCCCCCTTCAAAGTAGGCACCTTGGGGCCTCACACAGTTCTCCAAGTCACCATCAGCTACCCAGTATTTTCCTGAATCTCATCAACGATCTGAAATCTTTTCCCTTTCAAGGGTGATTTTAGTTTTGGGAAAAGCCAGAAATCACAGGGTGCCAATTCTGGGCTGTTGGGGGGCTGAGTCACTGGGTATTTTGATGTTTCTCCAAACAACCTCTCCATGAAATGTAATGCATGAGTGGGCACGTTGTTGTGATGAAGCTGTCAATCACCATTTGCTCACAGCTGTGGCCTTCTGAATCATCCAAATAGTTTCCACAGAGGAATGTTCAAGCTTAACACAAAATTTGATGTAGATTCGTTGCTCTACTTGCTTAGTCATTTTGAATGTGATGGCCACACAGTACACATGCTCACTCAGTGGTGTCTACCACCCCCACAGACTAGCACAGTGAAGTCACCACTATTTACACATGTGTATTCCAGTCCACTCTCCTTGGCTAATGGGTTACATCAAACTTTCATGAACTGTCCTCGTTATATTAAAATGGCTGGACTTTTTCCAGACAGACCTCGTATACTTTATACTTCACACATAACAGGTAACATACTGAGTACAGAATTCTAGGAGGCAGAATTCAAGTCACCATTCCTCAGATTTTGAAGAATATTGTTCCAGCTTTTAGACTCGTCTGATACCAGTTTGGTTCCTGTTTCTTTATACACAACTAATTTGTTTTTCTTGTAGAGATTTAAGGATCTTTTTTCCTGTGTTATTTTTAAATTTTACAGTGATGTTGCCTGTGTGTGTGTGTGTGTGTGTGTGTGTGTGTGTGTGTTTTCAAATTTGTTGTACTGAGCTTTCAGTGTATCACTTCACTCAGGAAATTTGTCCTCAGCTCTGGGAGACTTGAGCTCTTTGACAATTTACTCTCGTTTCTGTCTTCTCTCTTCCCAGAACTCCTCGTTAATTGACAATCAGACCTCCCGCACTGAGCTTCCAGATTTCCTTTTTCACTTTCTTCCTCCCAATTTCTATCTTTTTCCTTTTTATTCCACTGTCTGAGAGCTTTTTCTGGACTTTATTCCCCATTTTTTCTTCAACTTTCGAGAACTCTTTGCTTCTGTTTTCCAGCATCTGGTCTTGTTTCATGCATGTATTATCTTCCCCTCTTTTTAGAGTATGGATTGTAATTTTCAAGTTTTGTTTTGTCATTTTCTGTTTGCATCTGAATTTTTCTTAAAACCTGAATCCTTTTTCTGTTTGTTGGATTTTCTCTCCATTAGAGACTGTGTCCATTTGCATTAGATTTGGCTGCAAGTCACGGAGACTCATAATTAGTGACTAAAAGATAGATAACTCTTACTCGTGTGAAAGGAGGGCTTCTCAGTAGCTATGCTCCGCAGTGTGCGCAGGTTTCCAGGCCTCTTCCATCTCTCTGTCTGCCTGTTTCTAGGGTGGGGCTCTGGGCCCTGTGGTCCAGGATGGTGGCCTCTAAGTTCTATGCAGTAGGAGGGAAAAGAGGGCTGAGGGCGTGTACCTGTGACACTTGTACTGAGTTATGCGTTACGGGACCTGTTCTCCAGGCCATAACCAGATAGCAGGAAGGCTAGCACATACCTATATTCTGGTTGTACACGTTCCCAGCAAAAAAAAATCCTTCTACCGTGGAAGAAGGGGGAACAGCTCCTGGGAGGTAGGAGGCCTCCTCTTCTACAGAGCCTTTCCCCAAATGTTTGGTGATGTTTGGCTGGCCATCAGGATCTGAAAGAGGCATCAAGAACTGATTGGAAACTCAAAGTCCTTGGTGGGGCAGGCTGCACTGTGATCAGATAGATCACTCCCACCTACCAGTGTACACGCACTTGCTCTGGGGACATTCAGTTCTCCGCCTCCTGCCCAGGGTAAGTGCTTAGCTACCAGTGTCCTGAGAGCAGAACAGGGCAACAGGACAGAAGGTCTCACTGGCTATTATCGAGACTGTCTTCTAATATTCCTGTTACCATCATACCTTCTTCCCGCTCTCTGCTCTGTATGCTCTCCCCGAATCGAGAGCCTCTCCGGTTCCATTTCTCTAGAAAATAGACACTCCTGATTCCTGAGGTAGTGGGAAGGTGTGGGCATCTGGACCCATAGGGACAGAGAATAGGAGGGAATGGTCAATGTCTCCTCCACTATCCAGCCCCACTTCTGGCTCTGATGGTTCTGATTCCTAGTTCTAGTTCCAGTTCCCTCAGCCCTCAGGGCTCTGAACTGCAGGCCAGCCCCTTGTATATTGGTGCTCCTCTCCGCCAAGTCAGTCACAATACTGTCATCCATTCTGGACACATTGGGTTTGTCATTGATCCTCTTCCTGTTCTTTGCTCTTGTTGGACTGTGACTTTCTGCTACTTAGGGCAGGAGAGTAGGTGGTGTATGGAGTCATCCTCACTCAGCCAGGAGCTCCACGTACCTGTTTCTCTTAGAAATCACCTCGTTGTTTAGAGCAGCAGCATTTATTAGCACCACTGTGTTTTCAATCTTTGCTCAGCCTTGTGTGGGACACACAGATTATTGGGCAGGGCCCTTGCTCTCAAAGAGTTTTATTTAGTTGCGGTAACTAGTATTGTAGCTTTTCCGGGAAAAGGAATATTTTTATAGGCTAGAATATCTGGTATTGGCTTCTTGGAAGAAATGACACTTTAGCTGAGTCTAGAGGGATGAAATGGTACAGAAAATGGAAAGAGGTTAACTCTGGACAAGAGAAAAGAATGAGCAAAGAAATGGAAGTGAATAGAGACTACTTAGGTCAGTTGGTGGATGCCCAGTCTAAAACACACACTACATTTAAAAAAATAGGGAAATAGAAGGAATCGGGTTTGGGAAGATGCTTAAATGTGTATAGATGTGTATAAATGAGGAAGAGAATGGAAGGGACCCACTGGGGAAGAGCAGGCTGATAAAAGTAATATTTGGGGAAGAGGCAGTGGTTAGCAGTATGCAGGTAAGGGTGTGCTGGAGCTCACAAGAGCCCGTTATAAAATTTTCAGGAATTTTTGCAAACTTGAATCAGCCACGGTGGGAATAGTTACGTCATAGGAATAGGGAAACACTGGAGGGCTCCTCCTGCCAAGTGAGCTGGCTGTTGAACACCGTGTGTGCCGGCCGCAGTGTCGCGGGGACAGGCCTGCCGTAATGAGGCTCTGCTCCGTGTTGGGTGTGTACTAGGCCTTTTGCAACTAACCCTGTTGCAGGGACTCAGGAACATGTTTAAGGAGGTGTGAGTTGTACAAATAAAGAAAAAGTTCTGGAAATATTATACTTCCAAAAAATGAACTTTTAAATTTGAAGTTTTATATTTAAGTGATGAAGGAAACAGTATTATTACTTCAACCTTTCTGGTCTGAGAAATATTTAAAACAAGAATGACTAGGAAAGAAGAGATTTGTTAACTTCAGTTTTGATTACTCATGGAAATCACCAGGTAAACATGGCCCGTAGGAGACCGGGTCTAGGTGACAAGTTTAGGTGTGGGACCAGAGTTCAGGTGAGAGCCCCAGGTTGGTGGTGTGAAACCTGAATCAGTGTAGAAGGTATGAGGGCAGTAGACAGAAACTTGTGTAATGAATGACTAGGAATTAGAGAGAAAAGGGAAGACAAAGAAAAGCTCATGGCTTTCTACCTAAAATGCCATCTTCGCTGACAGTTATCCAGTTCTTCATTCTGCTAGCATGTTCCAGTGGAACCTTTTGTTGGTCACACTGATGCTGTTCAGGTTTTGCCTTCATCACTTTTTTCCTTACTGTTGTTGCAATATAATTCACATACCGTTTAATTCACACTTGTGAAGTGTATAGTTCATCGGTCTTTAATATAATCACAGGGCTGTGCCACTGTCACCACTGTCTAATTCCACAACATGGCATCACCCCCAGAAGAAGCCCCATACCCATACCCTGTAGTCCAACACAAATGTAGCCTTCCTAGTGGGTGTGCAGAGGCAGCTCACTGTGACTTCAATTTGCATTTCCCTGATGACTGATGATGTTAAACATCTTTTATGTGCTTATTGGCCATTTGTATATTTTCTCCAGAGAAAATATATTCAATTCTTTGGCCATTTTTTAAAATTAGGTTGTCTTTTTTATTGTTGAGTTGTAAAAGTTCTTTATATATCTCGGATACTAAGCCTTTATCAAATATGATTTGCAGATATTTTCTTCCAATCTGTGGGCTGTTCTACTCTTTTTATCTTTTCAGGGGTGTACAACTGTCTTTTTATTCAAAATACAAAATACATTATTTGCAGGCATAGATGGTGACAGCAGTGAGCCATTGTGTGCTGTCAGCTTTGACCAGTGACTATGATGAGAGCGATTTCTCTGAAACGTCAGCCAGCCTCCTCATTCTCTTCGTGCACTTTTTGGGTAGTGTCCTTAGAAGCACAAAAGTTTTTAATTTTGATGAAGTCCTTGATGGATAATTTTGGTAAATATCCATCAAAAAACTTTGATGATATTTATTCTTTGATTATTCTTTTGGTGTCATGTCTAAGAAACCATTGTCTGATCTAAGGCTACAAGGATTTACACCTGTATTTCCTTCCAAGAGTCTTCCAGCATAGTTTCTGTGTTTAGATCTGTGATCCATTTGAGTTCATTTTTGTGCCTAGTGTGAGGTAGGAGTCCGACTTTGTTCTTTCACAAGTCTTGATATCCAGTCATGTCAGCACCATTTATCGAAATGGCTACTCTTTCTCCATCTAATGGTGCTGGCACCCTGTTGAAAAATCCATTGATTATAGATGTACATGTTTGTTTTTCCGGACTTTCTGTCCGCACTGTCAGTTCTATTCCATTGTTCTGTATGTTGTCCTTATGCTAGTATCACACTGGCTTGGTTACTATAGCTTTGTCATAAGTTTTTAAATTAGAATGTCCTTCTGATTTCAATTGGAAATTGGAAATTAGAATGTTCTTCTAATTCCAATTTGAAATTTGAAATTTGAAAGGTGAGGCTTCCACCTTATCTTTTCAATATTGTTTTGCTATTCGGGGTCCCTCAAATTTTTATATGAATTTTCAGATCAGCTTGACCATTTCTGCAAAAAAAAAAAAAAAAGAAAGAAAGAAAGAAAGAAAAAAGCTGCTGAGATTTTGGTTTGATTGCATAAATCTGTAGTTCCATTGGGAATATTGCCATCTTACATTAAGTCTTCCGATCCATGAAGATGAGTTGCCTTTCCATTTCTTTAAGTCTTCTTTAATTTCTTCCAACAGTGTTTTGTACTTTTCATTGTACAAGACTTGTACTTTAAGGTTATTGCTACTTATTTTATTTTTTTGATGATACTGTAAATTGGGTTGTTTATTGGTATAGAAATATAGCTAACTCATATATTGATCTTGTGTCTTGAAACTTTGCTGAACTAATATTTTAGCCTAAGGGTTTTTTTGGTGTGTGTATGTGTGTGTGTGGATTCCTCGGGTTTTCTGTATATGAGATTATGTCAGTCCTCTTGACCACCTGTCTTTCCTCTCCACAGGCCTTGTTGCTTCTCCGCCGGCGCTCAGCACCCCCTGAAGAGCAGCACCTGGTGGAAGCTGCCAAGCTGCTTGTTCTCCTTAACCTCTCCTTTACGTACTTGAAGCTGGAACAACCCACTAGAGCCCTGCACTATGGAGAGCAGGCTCTGATTATTGACCAAAAGAATGCCAAAGCCCTCTTCCGGTGTGGACAGGTGAGTTGGTGGACAGTGACTTGGGGACAAACACCTAAGAAAAGGCGGCAGTAGTGTTGAACTTGGGCACTACAAAAATGCTCTTTCCTAAGTATGCTTTTAAAATTCTGTTTTCGGATAGGCCTGTCTCATCATGACTGAGTATCAGAAGGCCCGGGATTTTCTAGTCCGAGCCCAAAGGGAACAGCCTTTCAATCATGACATCAATAATGAGCTGAAGAAACTGGCCAGGTGAGGCCTGTGTTTGCAGTCCTGCAAACAGAGGAAGAGATGTGTGATGCTCCTACAGTTCTGGTCTCTCCACCTGGGTATGTTGTCCAGCACGTGTTATGAGGCAGCGCCCCCTAGAGCTAGTTTTATGAAGTGCTCACTACCCTAAACCAGCTCCCAGTGGAGTGGGACAAATCTCCAAACTACACCTGGGTCATCTCCCACCTCCTTATTTGACCCTGCCCTTTGAAAGCAAACTAAAGAGAATTGTTCTTCAGATACTGTTTCTACTTGCTACCAACACAGAACCACTCTTCTCAACTGACTGCAGAAAGGTGCCTGGTTTGATCTGAAATGGAACTTTCAGGTCTGACTCATACCCATAGGGTGACTTTCTCATTACCCAAGTGATACATATACTTGTATCATTCTTTCAGAAATATAACTTTTTATGATTAGAGAAGATTCATGTTCATTGTAGGAAACTTTGAAAATATCAACATATAAATAGAAATCACTCATAATTACATCAGCCCATAATATATCCACGGTTTTAGGATTTTCCTTTATTCTTCTGTATTGGTGAATTTCTCTATTCCTATTAACATTAAACATTTAATCCAAATTGCTTAGTTAAAGCTTTCTTGACATTAAAAAAGCCAGGAGTAGGCACACCTCTTATATTTGGATCCAGCTGTTGCATTTTGGACCTTTTATTTGTAAGTGTCCTGTTAGGTTAGATGTAGAAACTCTGGAATCTAACCATTCTTTAGCAAGAAAATATCAAGATAAGTTAGTGGCTCCTGAGTGTGAGGCACCTGGCAGCCTCACTGACAGTGGCTCCTGGTGTTCAGGCAGCCATCTTTTCAGAAACCGGCGTTTGTCCAAGGGCTTCTTTAACAGCCTGTGGGAACCTCCCCTGTGCCCTTACCTCTCCAGCACCACTTCCACCCCCTGCTGATTCAGCAGACCAGAGTGGAGAATTACAGCCACCAGATGTCACCTCCTACAAAGACAGGTCTTCTCTAACTACTGTGCATGTCCCTTTACAGCTGTTACAGGGACTACACAGATAAAGAGAAAGAAATGTGCCATCGAATGTTCGCTCCTTATGATAATGGCTCCACAGTAGAAGAAAATTCAAGGTAATCAAAGGCCTAAAGCACCAGAGGCTTCAGGATTTTGTCAGGCATGTATAAGAATGCAGTGGCTCTGCTTGGCCCACCAGTGGGTACTGGCTGTGTACAGCTGAGGGTGGAGGGGAGGAACAGGAAAATTCACATGGACGCTAACGACACAAGTCTAGTGCAGAGTGCGCACTGTGATCACAGAGGAGGTTGTAAAAAGATTGGAAATTCCATCCAGAGCTGCTGGGTAAATTTATAGGTTTACAAGGCCTTAGGCTTTAAAATGAAAACAAAAGTTTGTGGGGTTTTTTTTGTATTTTATGTTAACCTCTTCCTCACTGTGGCTTGGAACATGAAACTGATAATCATTAAAGGAATGGTTTATCTGAGCTTTGAAATGAACAGCAGTGCTTCTCTTACTTGGCTTCTGAAGGCCTCCAACTTCACTTTGTACCTAATACATGATTAAAGAAGACAAAATTCAGATGCCAAGGAGCAGGGATGGACAGTGACTCTCAAGCTCTGCTTACTAGTAGAATTAGAGCTTTGCGGATTTGGGAGCTGAGAACGCAAACACTGTCATCGCCCCACAGCACACACCTTGTGATCTGGCAGGCACAGGGTTAAGGTTTCCCATGAGCACAGGAGATAACCCCTCTAGTCTGGTTTACTGTGACTTAAGAAAATTAATGGAAACAAAATCACCTGCCTTAAACACCTGCTTAGCCGGGTAGATAACTCTGCTCTCTTGAGAGAAGTTAAACAAGGGACAACAAGAAAACAGCTGCCCAATGGGCTCCTGGAGATAAATCTCTCCTTTGTTGCTACCTACATCCCTCTATAAAAGAGGCTTGAGAGAGGAAGGCAGTGAAAAGGCCTATTCATCCCAGACATTTTCACAGGTGATCTACAAACCGCTTCTGTCTGGCCTGTCAGAAACAGCCTGTCAGTATCAGAGGTAAATGTTGCCTTCATCGCTGACCCTGACCCTGTGACCCAGGCCTTCAGGTCTTTCAGGGACATTGGAGTATTTGAACCGAGATGTGAGGCAGTGGACGTATTTGGCAGCTATTAATGTCCAGGACAATTAGAGGCCCGGGGGCTCTTTGCCAGGCATTTTAGACTGTGACCTGGTAAATTCTGCCATTCAGTGAATATCCAGTTCTCCCAGGGTCCGTCCTGGAAACAGACCCTGGAAAACTCATCAGGGCAACCAGTTCCCTTTCTGTCCTCTGCCTCAACTTTCTCAGTCTGTCAGGTTTTGGAGCCTAGTGATCTATAGATGTTTTCCCATCATTTCTAAATCGTGTTTGTCTTACCACAGCAAGGGCTGCATCAGGGTCTGAAGTGGCCATGATTGTCACGCTCCCGTGCTGTTGTGGCTGTAATGTGTTTTGGCTTTGTGTGTCTTCGGTGTCCTACCTGCTCCCCTTTTTCTGTTGTACTTGTGCTGAGTTAGTCACTTAAAATGTCCAGGTTTCTAGGTTCTTTCAACAACCCTAGTTTAACTAAGGAGGACCATTTAAAATGTCTTCTTCTCAGATGTTAGATATTCCTGACTTGTCTTCATCTTGTCTTCTGAGATGTTAGACACCGACTTCTAATGGGATGAATGTTCCAAGTCTCTGACTGTAGGAGGCTGAATTCTTTGAGATCAAAGTCCATGCCTTTTTCATCTTTGTATTTTCTGGCATCTGGAACCACGCCTGGCACATAATTAGTGCTCAGTAAATGTTGGTTGGATCAAGTGTAAAATAGCCGAAATGCTAGGCCAGTCTCTTTGAAACCATACCCTCCAGGCTGGCTCTTGTATTGGCTGTCAGGACTGCTGCTGGTGCCAGTGACAGAAGCCCATCTTTCTCTAACGTCAGCTGAAAGATTTGCAGAAGGGATCCTGAGGTAGCTCACTGAACCAAAGGAGAAGCTGAACAACCAGTGTTCAGGTACCTGCAGTTCCGAGGGCCCTGGGGTCCCCGTCTCACCGCCGCTTTACCACTCTCCCACTATAAGGAGTGCCCTGGCACCCATTCGCCCAGCCTTTATCTTTGAGAGAGGGCTCTTCCCTAGCCCACATCTCCTCCTCGTCCTGTACCGACCATAGCTCCAGTTTGAAAGACCCTAAGGCAGGACTCTGGCCTGGTCTGGGGTATGTGGAGTCCCATGAGTGGCACCCCTTCCTAGCACCACATATTAGGAGCTAGAGGAGCAGTGACTGTTCGAAGTAAGAAGGCTGCTGTTGCCCAAAAGCAAGGGGGTAGAGACAATGGTCAACCAGGAAGAGGCCCGTCAAAGGGTATTTAGCCATTGCAACCACTCACTGTTCTGCGGAGTTGTGACCTTTATTTAGTCTTGTGACAGAGCAGTGGGTCATTTGCTAACTTGGTAAATTAGGAATCTCTTGCAGCTCCTGCTGCTGGGAGCTCAACGGTGGGAAAAGCAAATACATTCATAGTTTTGCCACTGCCTTTTTCATTCGTTTGGATTTTCAGAGGGCATGGCAAACACACATACCTGTGGATGAGAACACTCTTGGGGATAATCTGGAAAGGCAAGACGGAGGTCAGTGGTTTTACTCACCCACATCAGAAGACCTAAAGGCTTTATAGCAAGCCTCAAGCTAAAATTTGATAAGCTGTTTTGAAACTGCTTTCCCTGTGGTTTGCGATGCAGTGGAAGCAGTATTCCTGTGCTCGGATATACTACATTCAGACTTTCGTAAATGGATCTAACTACCCACTTGGTGAAGAGCTGCCATAGCTTTGTACATGGTGGTAGAGATTTCACCAGGGGCACCAGAGAGCTCTTATAATGGATGCTGTCATGGCTGGGAACATTTGGAAGAGTGTTCTAACGTTTTTCTTAATTCTGTTTCCATACCATTGATTTTATTCTTTAGTTAGAGTTTGAGTTATGTCCTTATCCTACCACACTAGTATTCGAGGCCCTCGCCATACTTTGTGTCTGGAAAAGAGATGTGAAATGAGCACCATAGTTATTCCCAACTATTTAAATGGTTGACAATACAATAGGTGACTTTATTCTGTGGTTTTCAGCAAATGGACATAATAGGAAGATAAAACTTGGCTTGATATGAAAGAGTTACTAATTGTCCTACCATAAGTGGCATTAAGCTCTTCAAACGTGGGGACCACACACAGAAGACTGCCACTTTTGACTGCTTTTTGAGGATGGCCTTGTGTGAAGTATCTGCTCCCAGGCCAAGCTTTTCTACTGTGTGAGTTGTCGTGGTTGCTGGTGCATTTCCTGTTAGGGTCTGTCTGAGCAGCCCTAGGGGGCCCCTTGGAGGTGGAAAAGAGACTTGTGAAATTAGATGACCTTTCCGGGCCTTCCAAATCTAACTTTTTACCATCAGGCACTTGCAAACCTGCAGAAGGTGATACCTTCCATCCTCAGAGTACTTCTAGTGGAGATGGAATACAAAGTCCTACACTCAGTGTCAGAAAAACCACACAAAGACAGGAAGTGGGAGAGACCTGGTTCTGCTCAAGAGCAAAGATGTTGTTTACTAGTTCAAAACATACCAAATGTTAGGCATGGCTGCCAATGAAAATAGCATTCTGAATGAGGGAAGAGGAGGGTCCCACTGCACCACCACCGACAGCCTCCCTTCATTACTCACCCCTTCCCCAAGCCCCTTTTGAGCTGGTGGTTGTCCAGTGCTAGGCAGCACGTGAAGAGAAATCCAGTCCTGCTCCTGCAGTGCTGGTCTGCAGGGGTGGCGCTCTGACGGGGGAGACGGGGCAGTCAGGTGAATCACAGAACACGAGTGCCAGGCGGGAAACGTCCTGATGAGAGAAAAGCTTCGTAGAGGTCATCCTGAAGCTTCGAAGGGCAGCACTGGGCACAGGCAGGGAGGAGTGGGAGAGGGGTGAACAGAGAAGACAAGGAATTCAGCACTGAGGTCAGTTGCGGACCACGTATTGTCCTGGCGTTTCAGTCATCTTTGGGGGAGTGTGGGCTGTGTCGTGTAGCATAGGGGGAGGGGGAGATGGTCCGACGGGCTCATGTAAGGAGGGGCTGGCGGGCATGGCAGAGGGCGCGTTGGGGCTGCTGGCCTGGCAGGTAGATGATGCCTGAGAGATGATGACAGCCTGAAGGTAGATGCACTGGCAGGAATGGAAAGGAGACAGGAGCATGTGGCCTGCAGTCTGGGATGGATGGAAGGTGCTTTCAGTCAAATAATTCAAGTGGCGCATGAGAACTTAGCTGGTAGAGGCTAACCATAATGCCAGCGGGCATACAAGATGACCTGTGGATGATGGTGGAAGAACTGAAGCTATTTATTCTGGAGAAGAGAAGCTTTAAGTGGTGTGTGTTAGTCATGTGCCAGTGGAAAGAAGTGGCTTGGAGTGGAAAGCATGCAGAATAAGGAGTCGGGTGGTTACTGTGCAGCAGAAGTGATAGGGGAATCTTCCTGCAAGAGAAGGCACAGCTTGGGTGGGTTCACAAGGCTGATTGGTGGGGGGCTCACCTACATATGGTCGTCTTCCATGGGCAGAGTTGTAACGATTTTGCTCTCAGTTTATCATATTTTATGCCCTTCTAGATTATTTGATAGCATTTCTTATCAGTTATTTCATTTTAATGTATTTTTATTAATTTTTATCCAGATATTTGTTAAACCTATTTTATTAGTATATGCCAGGTTTTTACAGGTTTTATGTGGGTTGTTTTTAATGTAATATCTCTATAATACAGCTATCATCTCCATTTTCTAGATGATTAATTACACATGAAGAAGCTAAGTAACTTGCCAATATTACAAAGTGAGTAAGCGAGAGAGTCAGGGATCCCAACCCTGGCAGCCTGGCCCGGGCTGCCAAGTTGAAGAAGCAATCAATACAAAAGGGTTTGTCAGAAGAAATCAGTGTTAAGTCTTGTATCTCCTGGGGCTTCTTCCATGTAGCTAGATCTCTCATTCCACATAGTCAGACACTCTGTGTTGCCATTTCCTGATTGTTATCAGTTTTGGACGTGTATCTGTTGACTCCCTGCTC